TTTTAATTATATATAATATTATTCTTGATTTTTAAATAAATATAAATTCTGGAATGTTACGAACAAATTCTGAGATATTCAAAATTTGCATTTAAAGATGCTTATTTTTTTAATCTATATATTTTTATATTACATATCCAGGATTCACTGAATGTCAATACAATTTAATTAAAAAAGAAAAAAAGAAAATAAAATAAAAACACATTACAAAAACAATTGATATATCTATGAATGTCTTTGATTTTTCATTTGTTTGTTTTATTTTATCACATTTTACTTTATTCGATCCTATTTAATTATACCGATTTTGACAATCAACAGTAACATATTAATATGAAACAAATACTGTTAGTAACATTTTTTTTCTCCTCTTTCAACAATTATTTTACACAACTATTTTATCCTCTCTCTCTTTCTTTTTTCTTTTTCTGTCTCTTTATCTATTCAACTCAACAGATCGTGTATTTGTTTAACAAACGTTTTCGAAACGAGGAACAATTAGAAATCGACTCGATTAAACGATCGTTTTGCAATTGCGTTCAAGTAACATCGTTAACGTTAACCCGCGTACGTTTAATGAATAATTGAACGAAAACAAATACTAATACGTAGAGAAAGAGACAGATAGAGAGAGAGAGAGAGAGAGAGAGAGAGAGAGGAGAGAACTATCCTGTATAATATGCACTATACATAGCTGAGTATATACACTCGTCATCATATGAAAGACTAATCATCCTTCTATTCAGTTTCTTGTGTTTATTGTCATTCATGTTAATAGTCTTGTCAAGGTTGTGATAAAAAAGGTAATAAGGTTCTAAAAGAAATTATAGATTTAACAATTAATTCGATACCTTTTCTTCATAAAATTTAATATTTATTTATAAAGTAATTTATTTTTCGTGTTAATTTTATTTTATATTATTATTTGAAATAGTTTCATCAATTATTTTCAGCAACTCTCTGGTCCATCTTTCAAATAATTACGAATTTAATACCAAACCACCAAATTAATTGTTACACTTAATATATGTGTGTATGTGTTCAAAATAATTAAACGAAATAATATATTTACTTCGTTTATTATTTACATATATATATCGGAAAATGTATAATATAAATTTGTATTTCTCTACTTTGTCTTATATCCATAATGATCTTTAAATGTAAAAATGAATATTAAAATTATCCTTGAAGACTATAATTTATAGGGGTTCAAATATGTACAGTTCGTTTAAAAAAATAATGATGACCCTTGAATTTTATATTTACTTACAAATTGGAACAAAATTTTCCCCATAACACGACTAGCCTCACGAGAATAAACAACTTTTCCTCTAAACATTTTTTTTTAATAAATAATACAAAGTGTCCCAAAAGTTACTTCATCGAAAAATTACAAGCAAAATAAAATATCAATATTTAAGAAAAACATTGATATTAATTTATCAATTTGGTAAAAGGGTTTTTTTGGACACCCTGTTCAATATACATGTAATAATAACTTCCTTGTTCTTAATTAAACTACAGAGAATAAACTTGTTATTACATTATCCAAAAATATCAAAACAATTCTAATTTTTATTTGTTTCAACGATTTTCTACAGTTCATTTGATTTGTATTCTGAATTAGTTAATCTAAATCAAGATTATAATCACACGTGTATATATTTATTTACTTAAATGCATATCAACTAAACAACTAATCCATTGACTCAATTAATTCAAAATCAATTATTCCGAAATTTATTAGATCTATTTCACAATTCAAAATGAATTTTCTCTCGAAATAATATCTATTAATTAATTAATTAATTAATTATGTCTAACAATTGGTTATTGAGCAACCATATGTTATGATGAAGTGAGAAGAAAAAATATAATAATAATAATTTAAAAATATAATAATATATTTTCAATAAATCAATAATATTAGAAATCTTGTTAACATTTCTAATCGATACGACCTGGATACGAATATTCTTTTCTTATAATATGATCGATCTTTTCTTTCGGGAAATAGAACGTACATTCTTAAATTGAAAAGGTGAACTAGAAAATGCATTTCTGATTCTTTCTTTCACTCTTCATTATGATGAATTCAGATGAACAGACGAACTGATATAATCAATCAGTACGCATTAAATAAATGTCATATTCATGTAAAAGAGAAGGTGTTATAAGTTAAAACGAATAGCAACGATGAAAATGAAAATCTTGTCTAAATCACCCTTCCCATTTCTTTTTCGTAAAACTTTATCGAATTTTATTATTTGATATTTTGAAAATTTACCCAAATATTATAATAATGTGAAATCATTAACTAAAAAAGAAGTATATATACATATATATATATGAATATCTAATGCATAGAAAAATATATAAATACAAAACAGTGAGTAAATATCTAATCGTTTCTACAAATGGTTTATTTAATTTCATAACAATTACGTTAAAATAATAATAATAATAATAATAATAAACACGGTGTGTTACTGATCCTCAAACAAATATCATTGTTACGAAACATAATATGCGCTCTTGATACAACTTATCTATTATATTATTAAAACACGTAATACATGTATATAAAGCCTGTGTGTGTGTGGGTCAAAGTTATATTAACCGTTGCATAACACATTCGAATAATATAAGCGTCTTCATTATGGTGTCGTAACTTTTGATCGATATTGATAAATTTTACTATAAAAAATCTATTAATAAAACATATTCGTGTCAGTAATTAAGAAGGATTAAATTTATCACGTAGTACGTGATTTCATTTGTGCCATTTAATTCTATACATGATAATAACGTAGAATTATTTAAAAAAAAAAAATATATA